GCTCAGGTAATGGAAATATAGCAATGGATGAAATAAAATTCTTAATTCACATAGAACTTATTCTAGAAAGGAGTAATAAAGGCAAACAAGTAAACACACTTGCCAGATCAGACATGGTTGTAGAAAAATGAAGCAGAATAAAAGAGTCGAAGGAATGGAATTGGTAGTTTAGACAGGAGGGTCTGAAAATGCCTTGTGATGAAGGAGAACAAGATAACAAGAGGGTTTGAATAAAGGGAGAAGAGACCTGTATGGAATTCTGGTAAGAGCATTCCAGGGACCGGAGAGCTTGCTTATCAAGTTGGAGAAAGCAAAGGAGCCAGTGTGGATGAGAAGATTGAACGAGGGGGAGGATGGCATATGAGATCAGAGTAGAGGCTGAAGCCAGGTGATGAAGGACCTCGTGGACTGTAGTATGTATGCAGTTAGGACTTTATTCTAAATAGGGTGGGATGCATTGGAAGGTTTTGAGGAATGGAGTGACATGTTCTAAAAAATATTACACTGACAGCATGGTGGACAATGGATGAGGAGGGGGGATACAAGAATGGAAACCGGGATAGCAGTTAAGGGGATATTGTGCTAGTCTAGGCAACAGATGAGATGAGAGTTGCTGGAGAGAGTGAGGAGTTGTCAAGTTCATTTTGAAGGTAGTGCTGACAACATTTGATGATGGATTGGACGTAAAATGTGAGAGAAAGAAAAGAGTCAAGGATGATTCAGAAGCAACTGAAAAATGCACTTGCCAATAACTGAGCTTTAAGGAGACTGTGGGAAGAAAGGAAGTCTATAAGAGGAGGACTCAGTTTGGGGTGCATTCAGCTTGAGGTGACTATTAGACATCCAAGAGAAGATGTCAAGCTGTCACTTGGATGCTCAAGTTTAGCATTTCAGAGTGAGATGGGGCTGGAAATGAACTTGGAAATGGCTCATGTCTGGGTAGTGCTCATGTTCAGAGTTGAGCAGAGTTCACATGGAGTGTGCACGGAGGTTGGTGGACAGAGCCTGGGCACTGAGTGGAGGTGAGAAGGTGGAGAGTGCTCAGTAAGGGAGACTGAGACAGAGCAGTTGGAGGGAGGAGCAAAGAACCAGGAGAGCACAGTGGCCCGAGGCCAAGTGCAAGCAGGGTCCAACAAGGTGTGTGTGTAGAGGGTCTTCCAGGTTTTAAAACAATCTTGTGCAGATGTGCATGAGCCAGTCAGTGTATAGATAAACAGGAACTGTCATAGATGGAGCACTGCAGACTCTGTGGAAATGGAAGTTTATTTTATTGTTTGTTCTTGCCTGTGAAATTTCCCATTCAGACAGACACACACACACACACACACACACACACACACACACACACAGCTGTGTGAAGTACTGCTGACAGGTTGGTTATAGGATGGATCTGGCCCTGGAGAGGGCTCTGATGGAGATAAGAGCCTGTGGCAATGGGTTCAAGAGACTCAGAGGAAAGAAACATGGGGTGAACACATGCAATTAACTCCTTCAAGTGACATTGAAACGGGTCATTGTCAGAGAGATCAAGAGGCCCAGGGAGGGTGGCTAATGTGCTGGTTAAAATGGAATGATGACAACTGTATTTCCAACCACTCCCCTCACACAGCTCTGGACAAAGCCTTCCGTTGTCCCTTCCCTGCACTCCCTTGTTCGCCCTTCCCTGCCCCATTTATCCCATCCACCTATCAAGGCCCAGATTCTCTCTCACCATGTGCATCACCCCAGTTGCACCAGTTGTTTCCAGTGTTCCATTTCACCCTACAAACATTTTCAAGAAGCTTTTAGACATGAGTTTTGGTTGTGGTGTTATCCAATGGGGGTCTTTACAGCCCTCATCTTTAATGTATAACAGAACATACTTGTTTATACTGAAGATCAGAACTACACAATGTTCCCCTGACTGATTTCAGAAGGGAAGAACTTCTACAGAAACTGTAAAGTTTCTTATTCCTTTAGATCCTGGAAGATAGCATTCACTAGTAGCCAACAAGAACAGGATCTTTCACTTGTCCTTCCCACTTGAAAAAACAAGGCTAGAAAGCACTGATTCATACTAAGAGGGATCATGGGCTAGAATTTATTTTTCAAACTATCTGAAAAGCCTCAGCAGTTACCAAAGGATTTCTCTTTGAAAACATCAGAAAATGGGTGGGAGCGGGTAGGTTGGGAGAACAAGCCTTCTAGTTTAAGGTATGGAAAGTTCAATGAAACTGCACTGAAAAATAAGACATGGTTAAAAACACTCCTTCCCTTACACCTCCCTCAGAGTGTGTCACAGCGAGGAGACCAGGACACTTTCTTAAGATCCTTCCTGCTGAGAAGCTTTCCTTAGAAGCACTCATTTTCAATGCAAAAGGCAAGAACAGACAAGACACTTCTGATCAGGATTAAATACGAGATGTGTTAGAGGAGGCCTCTGAAGAAATTCTTAAGAAACAAGAGATGTTATCAGTGCTTCTATTATGGTAAAAAGACTAGAGTGACCAAAAAAAAAAAAAAATTAAGTTTATGAATGGCTAACATGAGGGGGACCACAGCACAAAAGAGCATTTAAATGTCCTGCCCCTTTTCCTACCAAGTGACAACTATTGCCAAACTCTGCTGTGGGTCACAGAGATGAGTCCCTGTGCTATGTTCAGGGCCCCTTATCTTGAGGGGAGAAGAGTATAAAGGGGCCATTCAGCAGACTCTCTGTAGGGGGAAGGCTCCCTTGATCCTGAGATGAAAGGCAATTGGGGGATTGCCCATAGAAGCAGCATCACGGCCATGTGTGAAGGCTCCTGGGCTCATCAGAGGATGGGGAAATGAGCAGCTGTGCCACTGCATTGCAGGACAGGCCTGAAAGCAAACCTAGGTGTGCAGGTTGGGCACAGCACTAAGGAAAATAGATTGTGGACAAAGTTCTGAGTTTTGTTTTGTTGTTTGTAGTAGTGGGGACTGAATCCACTGAGCTAACTGCTCAGCCCTTTTGTTTCACATTTTTAGAATTTTGAGACAGGGTCTCAGTAAGTTGCCCAGGCAGGTCTTAAATGTGCGATCCTCCTGCATCAGAAAATGGAGTCACTGAGATTGTAGTTATGTGCCACTGTTTGGCTTTGAGGTTGTGAAAACTGTGGCACTCTGTTGGTCTGATTTGTTATTAAGGCCAAATTCTGTTTTTCTGTGTTGTTTGGCTATGCTCTGACTGAGCCTCAAACAGTTGAGAGTTTCATTCTTTTGGGATATTTTTAAATATCCAGGTAATTCCAGTTGTCACCTATGAACCTTGGGTCACAAGAGAATCAACCCCTAAGATTAGCTACTGTGAGGCAATCTATTCTGGCAATTCTGTTACTGAAATGACCTTTGGTTATGGAACCAATATCTGCTGCTGCTTTGAGTTTTCATGTCCACTTCCATGATGATGAGAAGCTCCTGCCTGGAATTCCACCTGTGCAACCGTGGTGTTGTGCTGTGTGATTCACAGCCTCAGTCCTTGAAAAAGATTTCACCAGCCTGGAGTGAAATATAGAAGCAAAAGACAATGCCCTGAATCTATCATAAACTTTGTTCTATGTAAAAGCCTCTGCTTTCTTCTAAAATATGTCCTACTTTCTTTTTTGGGTGTTAAGTTTTCTCTTATTTTATTAAATGATGGCAACGTAATTATTTTTGAAATGCCTTTCATGGAAAAATAGTTGGCAACCCCAGATCCATTCCCTAATGTTTTGGAATATGAAATCTGGAAGACTAGGTGGCCCCAGCTTGGAGTCCCCTCTACCACTGTCTTGTATCATGCACAGTAGTCACCTAGTGATAGTCAGATGAGGGACAGGTACATCCAGGTAAACCAAGGCTCCTGATGACCTGCCAAAGTGTCAGAGCTAACAGCCAACTATGCCACCAATCAAGAAAATTTTGGCCCAGGATGTAATTTAATCACTTATTGCTTCCTAATTACAGCTTTGGAATTTAGCATCTTAATGAGAATATTAAACTTCCCTTCATGGTAGCTTAGTCACTCACATTTAAATATTATTAAATAGTTAAATAAGGTCCTACTGCTCTCAACTTCATTTCCTTTTAGAGAGAGGTGTGTAAAGCCTATCACTCTGTCAGCACCAAAGAAACCATTTAAATAATTTGGGATGCCTGGAGGATGGGGTCATCCACCCAGGGACTATAAGAAAGGAAGCATTTAGGAGACTATTGTACAAAAATTTAGCCATTGGAGTAGAAAGACCTTATTGGGTTTCAGCTCACAACTTAAGACTCAGGTTCTTCATCTGAAAAGTCAGTAAGAGTACCTATCTGCACAGAGTAGCTGTACTTAGACAGTTTAGCTCTTAGTGGAAACAGTCCTGATAAAAAGCTATAATTGTTAAGACAGGAGATTTACAAAATACTGGCTTTTATACAAGAATCATGGTTGGACATAGAAAGGTTCTCTTTGATCATCTGGCTCAACCTTGCTATTTCACAAATTGAAAAAAAAGGGGGAAAGGGCTCCAAAGAACTTAGATCAGTAAGAGGCAGAACCTGGATTTGTTTCTGGGTCTGACCCAAGGGCTTCTAGGTTTCCCTCCGCCCCTGGGTCAGGACTTTCTTCACAACATAAGTTTTTTTCATGTGGGAGTATGAGGTTGTTGATTTTCAAGGTTTCTTGAGCCAGGAAGAACTCTATGCATAGTTCAGAATGGTGGTATCATTTAAACATTTAAAGATGGCAAATTCCATATAAAAATGCATAGTCAACACAAAAATTTGGTAGTTTGCTACTTCATCACTTTGGGCTATTTATTGCTGAGTATTTTAAAAGAATTAAATGCATTAAAATAATGTAATAGAATACTCATAGTGTAACCTGCTAAGATAAGGTAGATAAACAAAAATGTAAACATCATATAAAGATGTGCCTCCCCCCACTCTCCTAGCTTTCAAAAATACAATCCCCATGTCAATCAAATTAGTTTCATATGGAAAACAAAAACCAGTTTCTCAGGAAGAAAAATAGAAGATATTTTAAAGACTTGATTTTAATCTCTAGAGTACAGCAAAACTAGATACATTACATTGGGTGTGGCTGACAGGAACAGGATTGGATACCAACAACAGAAGAAACACAAAAGCAACACCAGTGAAAACAAAGTAAACACTTTCTTATTTTAAATCAGTAGTTTTATTACAATACGCACTGACACACAATTAGAGAAGGAATGTTCTGACATTTCTGAGCATTTCACGGAAAGCAAATGTAACCATCCAGGCAGTAGAGTCATCCACACCTTTTCCAAACAAAAAGCTAAAGCTTTTTACATGTGATGACTCAGGAAAAGCAAAGTTTTCTTATCCTTATCTAAAATACTTCAGTCTTAGAAAATAGCTATTGGGAAGTGACCTAAGAAGGGAAGGGTTTCCTTCATAATGTCCCAAGTCCTGCTTCTAGGTTCCCCTCTGCCCTTGACTGTCTAAATGACTTGTTATGATACTCTAAATGGTAGCATGTTTGGGGGCTAAATGGAATCTACTTATAAGGCCAACTATTGTACTTCAATAGAAAGGAAAGGATAAGTTTAGAAAATTAAGTCCTGCTAAATGCACAATGGCAAAAAGAAAATATCTGGGTGTATTAAAAATGAGATGCTCTTTTCACATGACTCATTTCAAAGGTTACGATTACCATAAACATTTTAACTCTAAAAGATCATTGGCAAAAGCTTGCTTTTATATCTGCAAAAGGGCTTTGCTTTTGCAAGGGCTCAAAAGCAAGCAACATACCATGTGAAGAGTTGCTAATCCTGGGGAAGCAGGCATCAGGCTACTTGGAGTTGCATAGTCATTTTATTTATTTATTTTTTGATTCACTTTGTAAAAGACACATGGACCCTTGAGAATTTCCCCTTTTTCAATAGTCACTGTGGCATTCAGATGTTTAAATCCCTTTAGCGCCCAAACATACAAAAGCACTCTAGGAAAAAAACATTAAAATGGCATTTTGGATAAGTTCACACTACACATTACATAACTTGGGAACAATAAAGGAAAAAGCCCAAGCATGACTCTAGTATTTCACATAGAAAAGCACTGCATGAGAAAACTGTTTAAAAACATTAAAACTCAGGTGCATATAAATACATTTTTGGTTAATCTGTGCTATGTCATATAGAAATCCTGTCACATATTCAGCCTGCTAGGTAACTCATTTGGGTTTTCATGTCTGGCTGTATCAGTAGAAGAATATACACTGTTGCATATACTTACATATATATGCATATACATATATAAAATTTAGATCATGAAAATTTGTTTTAAATACATATATTTAAAACATGTACCTCTAAAAATAAATACATTAGCCTCTAATCAGCTAATTCTCAGAGTTCCTTCACAAGTCAATCAGAATACAGTTTCTCAACAATGGCAGATGACCAATTAGCTGCCCTTTAAACCCATTATCTCTCAGTAAACATTTTGGAATTCAGATGTATCACTGAAATAACATCCCTAGAATAGAATATAGATACAGTTTTGGCTTTGACAGTAAATGTCTTGATTTCCTTGATGTTTAGTTCCTACAAGTGTAGGATTTTCTAGTGACAGCATTCCATTCTGTTGACATTACCTTCTAATAAGAGGAGTCAGCTGGCATTTCCTTGGCCATTTTATTTTAGGGAACTAACACAACATCATCTGTATTTGATATCGCTTTCATAGATCACAGTGAGTTGTGTGTTTTAATGTAATTTATAATGTGCTGATACCACTGAGGTAAAGCAGAAGTAGCCCTGGCATTTAAAAATGAAAAGTCTCCCAGGAGAGCCATACATAAAGGACCTGGTGGTAAGTAGTTCAAAACTATTGCCAGAATGGACACACCGGATATCTGATACGGTACTCCAAACAATAGAAACAGATTAAAATACTCAAAAGACTTGTTAAAGAAGCAATGCAAGTCACAAAAATGGAGCTTTACTTTTTTACTTTTACATCTCCAAAACAACTTCTTAAAATAATATAAGCCAGACCAAGTTGTTTAATACACAATACCTAACAACTTTGTCATCTGTTTCTGAATATAGGAATTTCAGAAATGTAGGGGATCATGATAAATGATAGCAAGAACTTTTAATGCCATTGCCTATATTTTTAATAGGAAAATTTGCCATAGTTGAAACACAGCTTCTAAAATATACAGAGTTTTATGCACTCACAGTTCCAGATTGCTAACTTTATAAATTAAAGGTAAAGTTATCCATATACAAACAAGGCCTCTTTTTCAGTGATTTCAATCTCATTTAAACCTTTGGATATTTCAATCTTCAGATTACCCAAGGTAAGGCTGAGTTTATCCGATATAAATTAAATATTTAAGTCCATTAGGTACTGTAGCACTGAGGAAACAAATGCATCAAATAATATACAAGTTGGCTACAATACCTTCCTTTTCCTTTTTTTTTAATTCAAATGTGCATCAACATCAAGTCACACTTGTTTTTTCATTTTTCTGGCTGCAAAAATGGGGCAATAGCATTTTTTTCTCACTCATCTTTCCTCTTGAGCCTGAAGTCAGAGGCAGGTAGGTCTTAAGTTGAAGGACGTGGCCTTTTGGGAGGTGGTGGTGGCATGAGCTCAGTGTCAGGGTCCAGGTGATGCTTTCTCTTCTGCCCTTGAGAAGCTAACGCACATCTGTCAATGAACTCAAACAGCATCTCCTTGGTGACAGGGTTTGATATGCTATTGCACACAGCTGTGGACAAAGGGAGACAAGCATCTCACGTGAGGGTTAATTAGGGAAGCTGACTCACCACACACAGGCTTGTGAGAAAGGTTTAAACACTGCCATTTTACCAAAGGATGACATGCTTCTGATTAAACTAATCTCCTCCCTCTGCCCACCTTCCAAATAACTGCTTTCCTAGGGGCGATTCTTTACTGGAATATTAATTTTAAACTAAAACTTTAGGTATTTGGGTTATAAGCATGTCTTCACTATGGTTTTCTATTCCTTCAAATAGTTTTTTATGGGATTCTAATCTAGCACCGTACACTGAACTATAGTCCATACTTCGACTAAAACATCTACAGAAAAAGTGCACTACAATCTTCCAACTTTCCCTCAGGAAGATGTCCATTCTGAAACACTTAGCATAGCATTACTCATCATGCCTATGGCAGACCATATTATTTTAATAACTTCTTTGAAGTAAGATAGGTTAAAAAATTGTCTAATAAATAAAGCATCTTTTCTTGAATGACCAAAATTTAGTACCAATCATTTTCACTTTATTTACCTACTTGATTTTGGGAAAAAAGACACTGGCTTAATCATTGCTACTTTTGAACTCATCCTAAACGTGGATACTAATTCCAACAGGAGCCCTTAAATGTACAATAATCACTTTTAAACTGCAAAACCTAAACTGGCAATTTCTGTATTTTCTTCTAAGCTTATCATATCATCATTGATTAAGCATGCTAAAGTCCACAACTCTATTAACCTTTAATCTTGTTTTTTACCTTTTTCAACTCCAGTAAAAAATGTAATCTAGGGCAACTGCTACTAGTAATAAGTGTACCCTATAAATTTCAATTAATTTGTGTTGTTCCTCATTAAAAAAAAAACCTTAATTATTCTGAATCCCCAAAGAATTCAGATTGTACCCAAAGAACACTCTGAAGGATGGCATAGCAGATTTTGTGTTTTTTAAAATGGTTTTCATTTACTTTGTTCTCCATTGTTTGTAAAATTATTTTAGGAGCTGGAAATTACTTTCCCCTGCTAATTTTGTCTTTTACCATCTGGCAAACAATGATTTGTATAGTTTTGAATAGATCTGAAATTATCATGGCTTTTGTTGTTGTTGTTGGATAAATTCAACTTGTATATAGCCCAGTATCCTGCCCTTTACACTCTCTTCTGGGCACTTGGCACAAGCCCACTAGTTTAGAGACGAAAACCTAAAAGCTAACTGGAACCAAATAGGGTGCCAGACATGACAATGTTCTGGTCAACAAGGGTGAAGTACAAATGACTCTATGTACCATCAAGTAGAATGGCACATATAGCAGAATGTGGGTTCTAACAACTTAGTTTTTTTTTTAAATGTAATAACTACTGGTAGGTCGTCATACTCACCCATGGCAGTGTTGTAGGCATTAGGAAAACTTTTGTCTGTTCTCTGTCTCATGAAGACCCAGCTGTTGTTCTCAAATTTGCATTCTATAATTTTGTTGTCATACTGTTTTAGCTCTTTTGTCACCTGTTTTAAAAGAGAATTGACGAAAATATTTAAATCATCTGAAAGGCTTTTTGTTTCCATTATGTGACAGACACATTAGGAAATGCCAAAAACACCTCAGTAACTCTTCATGCAGAGCTCTTTGTCATCTGAAGTGTCTAATCAAGCCTAAAGATATGGTGTGCACTCCCTTGTACACATGCTCATTTATCCGACATTTTATAAATAGTCATGAAAACGGCTGTCAATATATAGCAATTAAAAGAAGCTAAGCAGAAAGCAGCCACTTCTGGGCCAAATGCAAATATGTTACCATGGGGACCAAGCCTTCAATACTGTCTGTGTCTGTGGCTTTCAGAAATTGAGTATACTGATTAGGTTTCCTCAACCTTCAGGAAGGTCTCACCATCTAAATTCCTATGTCAAAATCCAAGAATTTCCCCTTATTCATAAAAAGTTGCACATAAAAAGTAAACGGTAGAACCAAACCCAAGCAATGTGCATCCTAAATATTTTGCTTTCAAGCAGAAATAATTAACCAAAAACCTAATCTTTAGGCTACTTTCTTCTCATCTGCCAAACTTGTATGAATATAGAGATGAAGCTACTTTGACTTTAGTTGGTGGGTTTCTTGGCTTCTTCACTTCAGATGATTGAAAGTGGATTAAAACTTACTTTATCAAACCTAAAAAGTATCCATGGTAACTACAGAACCTTTCAAAAGATATTCCACTGGGCTGTGAGGACAGTTTTCATAAATAGGAACCAAAGCTTATCTTTGCAGTTTTCAAATCAAATGCCAGTCATGGTAATATTTTAATTCTGTCCTCATCTTTCACAGCTAACAACTTTTCCTCACAATATGGTAGATTGCAATCATTTAACTTCATTAGCATTATTTGAAATGCTCTCATTTTTTCTACCCACATATTCACTATTACCTAGGAATATGAAGGGAAGGAAATTTTTAAAAGATGCTTTCAATTCACAGATTAGATAGTGCATATCTTCATAAAAACTTTCGAATTGTATTTCTTGTCCCTTAATGGGCATTATATTTGATTGAACTATTTGCATTTTCAACAAATCTAACGGGTACAACATTTTCAATGGTTCTGGAACTAGACCTGCCTCCAAAAACTGATGGTCCATAGTCCACTTAGCAAACCTGTGTCTTTATTCTCAACTATCCATCATCATAGACTAGACTCTCCTGCACTTTTTACTAGGGACCCACCTTTTTACTTTTGATTTACTATTTATAGCCAAGTACTAGGCAATTCATTCAATTAGATAACCACATGTATGTTATACTATTTGAAAGATCTAACAGAAATTTGTTTCCAACCCCTTCAAAGTCTTCATTTTCTTATTTCTAAAATGGGTAAACAAGTTCCTAATTTACTGAGTCATTGCAAGAATAATGAATAAAAATGCCTGGGACATCATAGATAATCAGTAAAATTGGTAACTGAATATAAAATTGGCAATGAAACACTTCTTTCTAAAAACTGGTTAAAAAAATGTACCATCTTAACAGTTTTCAAGTATACAGTTCAGTCATGCTAAGTATATTCACATTGTTGCACAAGAGATCTCTCAGGCTTTTTCATCTTACAACACTGCAACTCTGGACACACTAAGCATTAATTCTCCCTTCCACCCAGACCTTTCTATTTTTTGCTTCTGTGATTTTGACTTCAGATACTTCAAATGAGTAGAATCACACAGTATTTGTCCTTTTGTGACTGACTTAGCAAAATGTCCTTGAGGTTCATTCATGTTATAGCATGTGATAGGAGTTCCTTCTTCTTTAAAGCTACATAATATTCCATCATATGTATATATCACGTTGCCTTTAACTATGTCAATGAACTTTTGGGTTCCTTCTACTTCTTGGCAATGTTGCTGTTAATGTGGGAGCACAAATATCTCTTCAAGATCCTGCTTTGAGTTCTTTGGAAAGTCAGAAGTGGGGTTGCTGGATCATATAGTAATTCTGTTTTTAATTTTTTGAAGAACCTTCATACTGTTTCCCAAAATGGTCGCACCTTTTACATTCCTACCAATTGCGGGGTTCCAACTTCTCTGTATGCTCACCAACATTTGTCGTCTACTTTTGATAGTGGTCATCCTGATGGATGTCAGATATCTCATTGTGGTTCTGATGTACACTTCCCTAATGATTGATGATGCTGAGCATCTTTTCATATGCTTCTGGTTAAATACCTTCTTAGAAATGTCTATTCAAGTCCTTTGCCCATTTCTTAACCAAGGTTTTCTGTTGTTGAGTTGTACAGAAGTTTCTTACACATTCTAGATCTTAACACCTTATCAGACATGATTTACAATTATTCCACTGTTTTACTCTGTTGATGAGCAAAGGATGTTAAATTTGATACTGTCTCTTTTGTCTATTTGTAATGTTACTGCTTCTAGTTTTGGTGCCATATCCAAGAAATCACTGTTAAATCTATGTCCTGAAGTTTCCCCGTGTATCTTTTTTTCTAGAAGTTAATAAATTTAGGATTTAAATTTTAGTTTAAATCAATTTTTCAGTTGATTTCCTATGTGATATAAAGTTAGAGTCAACTTCATTCTTTTGCATGTAAATATTCAGTTTTCCCAGCACCATTTATTGAAGAGACTGTCCTTCCCCACAGTGTTGTCTTGTTACCTTTGTGGAAAATCATTTGGCTCACCTATGCACAGGTTTATTTTTGGGCTCTCTGTTATACTGTTTTGTTTTATTTGGTGGTGGTGGTGGCGGTGAACCAGGAGTGCTTTACCACTATATATCCCCAGTCTTTTCAATTTTTATTTTGAGATAGGATCTCTCTTAAGTTGCTGAGGCTGGCCACAAACTTGTGATCTTCCAGCCTTGGCTTCCTAAATAGTTAGTATTATAGGAGTCGGCCAGCATAACTGGTGGCCTGTCTTTATGCTGGTAATTAAATACACTATCTAAGTTACTATTGTAGTATGTTTTAAAATAAGGAAGTATGAGGCTCGCATCTATTTGGGATTCCTTTAGATTCCATATGAATTCTACTTCTGTTAAAAAAAAAATACCATTGGGATTTTAATAGAGATTGCTTTAGGTAGTATGGATAGTTTAACCATGAACACTGAAAATCTTCTCATTATTTGTATCTTCTTTGATTTCTTTTAGAAGTATTGCTTATAAAAAAAACTTTAGAAGGAAATTCAATAAAGGAACCATGCTGACATAAAAAGGTACATTTTGAATATAGCTGTCAAGAAAATTATATAATATTTACTTTAGAAGAATGGATTGCTAGTCAACAATGTGCAGTCTGTACTTCTACTAAGCGGCAATTATGGTAAGTCTTTATCATACAGCTTATCATTCTTGTGTTCTTAGTTTCAGAATTGCTATCAATCTGACTATAGTAACTTAGCAGTATTTATTAACTACATGTGTACCTGTTTGGCCAAGCATTAACAATCTGGGAAAGAGAACTTCCTGAAAAATACATGCATCTGCCACTACTAACTTGACTGCATTTCCATGTTCAAGAACAATACTTTGTTTTTCATTGATCATGCCAGTTATGTTCCCAAGACAGATATACTGCAAAGGCCCTCATTTGGTTAGATGGTAAAATATATCTGATAAAAATAATATCTCCCATACTTGCACAAACTAAAGATAGACTTCACTAATACTTAGATCAAAAGAAAGACTGGCATTTAATTTTAGTATCCATATTATAATTTGTTACTATGATGACAATTATCCTCAATTACATATTATTATTTATTAAACCAGGTCCATTAGGCCTTCTAAAATCAACTGTTATTTTAGTTTGAGTTAATGAGAGCTTAAAAGTAAAAATAATAAAATATTTACAAATCACAATTTCCTATCTGTACCCATAATTACATTGAATTAATAAGCTTTCATTTTTGGGGGGGAATGTTAAGAAGCAATATATATTTTATATAGAAAATTTTTTTTCATGCATCCTTCTTATTGAATAACATACTTCTATAGTATGTGAATGTACCAATAATCTAGGGTTAAGAGACTGTCATATGAAACTGGACCTAGTACCTCTGAAGATTTTTAATTAGCAGTTCTAATTTTTAATTAGACCCAAAATGGAAAGAAAAAAAATCACAGTTGCTCTGTTCTGCCACATTTTACAGACTGTTTTGTTGTTGCTCACAAAACCACACAATCGGTGTTGGCTGAAATGATTTGCACAGAGTAGAGAGGTGTTTCTATTTCTAGGGTAGGATAGGAGCCTTTAGAATTACTGTCCCTGATCTATGGAAGTTCAGTTTCGTTATCTGTTCAACATAGTTCTCGAAACACTGGCCAGAGCAATTAGACAGACGAAAGAAATTAAAGGCAAAAAAATAGGAAAAGAAGAACTTAAATTATCACTATTTGCAGATGACATGATTCTATACCTAGCAGACCCAAAAGGCTCTACAAAGAAACTATTAGAGCTAATAAATGAATTCAGCAAAGTGGCAGGATATAAAATCAACACGCATAAATCAAAGGCATTCCTGTATATCAGCGACAAATCCTCTGAAATGGAAATGAGGACAACCACTCCATTCACAATATCTTCAAAAAAAATAAAATACTTGGGAATCAACCTAACAAAAGAGGTGAAAGACTTATACAATGAAAACTACAGAACCCTAAAGAGAGAAATAGAAGAAGATCTTAGAAGATGGAAAAATATACCCTGTTCATGGATAGGCAGAACTAACATCATCAAAATGGCGATATTACCAAAAGTTCTCTATAGGTTTAATGCAATGCCAATCAAAATCCCAACGGCATTTCTTGTAGAAATAGAGAAAGCAATCATGAAATTCATATGGAAAAATAAAAGACCCAGAATAGCAAAAACAATGCTAAGCAGGAAGTGTGAATCAGGCGGTATAGCGATACCAGACTTCAAACTATACTACAGAGCAATAGTAACAAAAACAGCATGGTACTGGTACCAAAACAGGCGGGTGGACCAATGGTACAG